CGGGGGGAAGGTCCTGAAAGGCCCACGGCCTAGTCCCTCCAATAGGGCTCCCTATCGTCCTATACTAAACACCCTGTGACGTGATGTGACTTGCCTGACCACCACCGTGATAACTAAGGCCTCTAAACTACTGGGCCGAGAGACCCAAAAGGGTGCCTCTGGCCCCTGGGCCGCGTGGATTGCCCAGGGCTCGGGTTCCACCGCCCTGGCGGCTAACCCCACTGGGGTGTTAAGTCCCCGCCTCTTCCTGAGGCCACTATGGGCCGCAGAGGTCCACTGTCTAACCCCACTATGGGTCTTCGGCCGCCCTTCTGTGCAGCCTGACGGGGCCCCGTTGGGCACTCCCTCTCGTTACCTCTTCTCCGAGGCTTCCGTGGAGACTCACGCCTGGGTCTCAGCGCCGGCTTGCCCCAACGCTGCTCTCTGGGTTCCCGCCTCTGGATCCTCCGTTGGTGCTGCCGCTGGCTCTGCTGCAGGTGTACCTGTTAAGTCCCCTGTCGGCACCGCTCGCAGCTTTCCTGCCGCCCCTGCGGCTGACGTCTCTGCTGGCTCTCCAACCGGCTCTGCCTCCGGTGTCGCAGCCAGCTTCCCTGCCGGCTTGACTCTCTGCGTTACAGTCGGCTTCCCTGCCGGCTCTGCTGTTGGCTGTCAGAGCCTCTCCTGGCTCTGCCCCCGGCTTTCCGCGCTGCCGGGCACGGCGGCTGATTCCATCCGTGTGAGGGCTCTTCCCTCCAGCCTCCACACATCAGCCGCCCCACCACATCGTCCGGGCCGCTTTTTATTTCTCCCGGGCGGCGTCTCCCGCCCACGCTGCTCGGCCGCAGCTGTATAAACGCGCAGCTAATCATCTTCACTGGTGGTTTCGCCGCTCGTGTCTCCTCTGGCTCTTCGGGCTCTGCGAGAGGTAAGTGGGGCTCTCTTTCGGCCCGGGGTCCTCCTGCCACCCCAGCTCCTCTGGGACAGGCACCTATAGACGTGTAATTACAGCGCGTCGGATTGGACTCAATTAATTGAGTCTGCTGAAGCGTGGCAATTACCATGCTCCAGCAGACTCCAGTGTCACATGTATCAGCGTCCGTGCACTGAAAAATGGCAGTGGGGTTGCTTTAACTCAAGCTCATTCGACAAGGCTTAGTTAAAGTGCCCCCACTGCCATTTTTCAGTATGGGGACACTGATGTACATGATGCTCTGGGAACTGTAATTAGAGTGGCTTTTGGAGCCTCTCTAATTGAAGCCCCCCCCTGCCACTGTCTGAGCACCCAGAGGTACTAAATAAACACCCAGAGGTACTAAATTTAATGTGCATTAGGAAAAGCTCCTTAATGCAAGCGTAGACGTGCTCAATGAAAAATAAAGTGTGCCTCTTATGTTAGGTCAGTGCACCCATCATTAATACCATAAAGCTTTTTCAATTTTCTTTAGTGCAGCAGTTCCCAACGCAGTGCCCACGGGCGCCATGGCACCCCCCTCCCCCCCGAGGTTTATTCAGATGCCTGCATGCATTTTCGTGATCAGTAAAAATCATTATTCCAACAAAAAATGCCGTCACTGTCCATTGAACTCAGAACAGCAACACTTCAAATTTTTTTTTCACAGGCTGTACGTAATGGCTGCCAAAATGAGACTGAGTCAGTCTGCCTGATGCAGTGACAGAGTAGTGCTTACTGCTCCCTCCCCAAACGAAACTATGTGTGTACGCATGTCTGGGATTCTAAATTCAAACTTTTAATATATATATTGGTGCCCATTGCTTTTTCTTTTAAATTCAAATGTGCCCTTGGGCACATAAACATTGGGAACCCCTGCTTTAGTGAGTGTCTGATTTAAGATGCTTTCAGTGTAAACATTGTGGAAAAGGCTGTATTATCCTATGCTCAGAGATTGTTACGTTCTATTTCTTCTCCTTTTAGTTTCCTAAATAAACGGCTTTTTTTCCCCAACCCCTAAGGCACTCTGATTTTTCTTACTTAGCAACTGGTTGCTATTAGTTTATTGGCATGAAAATAAATTGGTTGCTACTGACTGGGCCATCATTTTATAGACAGAGGGGGGTGTGTGTGTGTGTGTGTGTGTGTGTGTGTAAATGCACAGTTTTGTTAGAGCCAATTAATTGCTTAACCAACAAGCCTGGTGATAACCAGTTAGTTTACCAGTTACTGAGAACTTTTACAATCTTTTCTTCAATGCCAGATGAAGGGTGTTTGTGCCCAAAAGCTTGCAATCAAAGAATTTTTTTTGCAAAAGCCTTGTTGGTCTAATAAAAGATATCATATCTACTACGAGTCCTGATTGCCTTTTCCTCTAGACCAGTACAGCTACAACCTGGATACCTGGTGCATGGCAGGGTGCACTCGGGCAGTGAAGGGGGAAGAGAACCTACACAGTGGGGAAGGGCAAGGGGGTCTCATACCCATAGCCTATGAGGTTAAGAAGGAAAACAGCAGGTGGCTTAATGATTCATCAGTTAAACAATTAGCTGTTCCTTCACATCTGCTCCCTCCCTTCTAGCACAGGGCTTTACCTGGGCTGTGTTGTCTGGCTGGGCTAACCACTGCCTCCTTCCTCCCCCCCACCCCAGGGCCCTGGGATCTTGAGGTTAAATGGGTAATTTTTTATAAACTATATTTACATCCCTAGTTGGAGGGACTTCAGTGTATGTATCCCAGCTTTCACATGCTTGCGAGAAATGTGTAGCTATGTACTTTTTCATTTGATTTTTGTTTGCCAAGTAATATTCCTCAGTAAGTAGTAACTGATGCTCTGAAATTCTCTTTAGATGTTGGGAACCTTGAAGACACTTTAGCTGGTCTTACAGTATATGGGAGTAATGAGCATGATCCTTACATCACTATTAAAGACACTGTAAGTATTAAGACCCGTAAAGATTTAGGCATCTGAATTAAATAAACTAAGTGTTGGGTAAAATTTTGAAGACTGCCTGACTACCTTAGAATCCTAAGTCCTAAAAGTCCTTGGGACTTCAGGTCCTATGTGCCTAAGACTAATTTTGTTTACATGCTTCTGAAAATTAACCATTAAGTCTTGTGATCAAACTGATCACTCTTACTACTGACATAAGGTTTTCTCTTCTGTTTGTTTTCACTAATTGTAATGGCCACATTTTGGGAGTGCTGGTACAGTAGAGGGTATTCACATGACTTGATTGCACTTTTAATATAGTGCCCTAAGGACCATGGCTGACCAAGTAGAACTTGAACTTTTATTGGCTAGTATTGTCACGTAACAGCCAGAATTTTTCCTTGCGTCCTGCCAGCTAGATTTTCCCTCTAGGTGTGGAGGCTCTTGTCAACGAATGCAGACTTTTCTGGACAGTGGTGTCTACTAGGTCAGGGCTCATGCACACCCTGCCTGCATCTCTTATCTTCTGCCCTCCAAGTCCTATAAGGGAATGCAGCCTCAAATTCCATTCCAAAGTCCTTCTGACTCTTTCGGACAGCAACAAAAACTCGGTGATCTGCAGGGATCCTGGTTTTCTTTGATTTAAAAAAAAAAATTCAAAATTCTCTGCTTTAAGAAACACCCAAAAATCCACATTTTTTCATGATTAAAACAAAACACCACTACATATTATTCAAATGGATATGGCGTTTTGTTTTAATCATGGAAAAATGTGGATTTTGGTGGGGGGATGTTTAAAGCAGAGATGTTTTGGGGGGTTTTTTATCAGAAAGAACCAGGATCGCTGGTGATCTGCCATGACTCTTATTTGTCTAAGTGCATTACTGTCACCTGTTTGGTTTAGTGTTGATCAGTTTTTGCCATGTTTTTATATTTGTTCAGGGTTTCTTCGAGCTTCACTTTTGCATATATAGAGCTCCTTTCACAAGAAGTTTTAGCCTCTAGATCAGATAATTGGTTTGGAAGAACAGTTCAGTGACTAAGTCATGTCCTTCAGGATGTAGACAGTCTTGTCAATTATCTGGTGGAGATCTGTGCAGAAAATCATCTAAGAGATTGTTATAATTGCAGTTCTTCCAAATGATTGCTTAAACACTCCAGGCAGGTCCCCATGTGCAGTCAGGTTCAGTTTGTGGTACCACAAATGTCTTTGTGGCACTGCAGACCCTATGTGGTGAATGTTCAAATGTGCCCCATGTTGCAAATTTGCAGCAAGGTGCTAAAATTTGCTGCCAGGATTTCCTTGTAGCAAACAACACCCCCCTCCCCCCCGAGAAAAAAGTGGAGGCTGGGCCATCCAAAGCAGTGCTCTGGCTGCCGGCCAGGCCTTTGTGCTGCCCTATCTGTGCCTCTGCTGCTCCAGGCCACCACTAGCCCCAGCCTCCAGCTCTTTCCACCACTAGCCCCAGCCTCTGGCTGAAGAGCCGGGAGGACCTGTGCACCGCAATGAAGTGCACGTGCAGGGGCATGCGCTGCAGCAATTTGTGCCACTGCAAGCACGTGCCTCTGCATGCCTGGCTATGGCCTCCATGTCCTTCTTCTCTGTTTTGGAGTCTAACAAGGAATCTTGTTAGACAGACAGGAGCTAGGTTTGTTTGTACCTCTCTCTCTGAACAGAAAGTGCCGAGTGTGTGTGTACGTTAGTGTTGTGGATAGTCTGCCTTGCATAGTCATCTGGTTGGCTCGCTGCTTCTGTGAGTCTTCAGCATGGCATTAGAGAACAGGGAAACATTTCAAAAGTTGAGAGAGGTGGTTAGCTGTGTTAGTCTGAAATCCGGCGGAAGGCAGGACAGGGTACCACCTTGGGACTAATTCGTTCAGAGAGGCTTTAAGCTTTCATAGACAACAGCCTACTTCGTCAGGTGCTGTGAAATGGATTTGCAGAAAGCAGGGGTACTAAATAGAAAGGAATAAAGTGATTTAAACACAAAGGATAAGGGGGAGGGGATGCTGCTGAGAGGGGCAAAAGTTGGTAAAAAAAAAAAAAATGTAAGTGGTTATAAAAGGGGAACTTCCTGAGAGATTCAGGAGAAGGGCAGTAACTTTGCCTAGCTTTGTAACTTCTTTTACAATTGCCAAGGCTTCCTGACTTCCAGATAGCTCAGAAAGGTGTCATTTTGTTCTAGCATCTCAAGTAGTGAATCTTGTAGCTCTTCTGCAGGATCTTTATTATAAGCTCATGGGTATTTTATGAGTAGCAATGTTAAAAGCTGGGTCTTGTGTTTATTAAAATAAACACATTCAAGCAATTGCATAGCTGCCTGTACCAGCCACAGATCAAAAATTTACATAGAAAAACATATATGCGATGACAGAAAACTAGATGAAAGTTTGAAATGTGAAGGCAAAAACAAGGCATTGCAGGGGTTTCAGGTCTGAGGTGATGGTGGCTTGTTTCTGGGGTACCAGTAGATGGTGTCAGTGAGACTGAACCTCAGCACTATGCACAACTCAAGCAATTCCACTGTTTGAAAGGAATAAAAAAGAGTCTTCAAAGAGCAGTAAAATGAGTGTAGTTTCTGTAACAAGGTGAATGTGCCATTTGTGAAGTATTATGGCTTGTTTTAGAAAGTACTTCCAGTAATGGCCAACACTTGAATTCATTTGGAGTAGCTTCCATTATCCATTAGCTTTATTTTATGCTAGTCCTGTTTACTTTATAGAGATGTTCAAGGTTTGTAGACCTTTTGGGAAATACATTGCCCATGTGGGACTCTTATCACTGAGTGATTGGGGAAAGTGTCTGAAATGTGTGTCTGCGAGTCTGGAAAGGGTTGAGGGGTGGAGGAAGCAGTTAGTGCATTGTGTTGGGAATGTTTTGTAAGAAGTTTTCGTGTGCAGTACCCATGTGTCCTTTAAATCCATTTAGGCCCACACCAACATCCCTTCTGTCCATTTAATAGTTATCTAGCCTCCCTGCTCTTTGGCATCTTGGGGAGGGGTCTCTTTATTTTACTGTGTAAAATGTCCTCAAAGGCTTGACTTTCTGATCTTTCAAAGAGTTAATATCCAGCCATTTCAGTACATTTCAGCACCTTTTTTTCTTCTCTCTCCCCTCATTGCTTAGGACCAGTATGAGCAGGAAGATTTTTTTATTAAGCCCAGCGACAATCTTGTACTTTGTGGCCGAGTTGACAAGGACCACTGCAATCTAGAGGTTCATGGTAGGTAACCAGTTTGTTTATAACAGTAGAGCCAGAAAATAGTTTGCTTTCCAGGCTTGTTTCTTGCATCTTTGCAGGATTGCTTTTATCACTTGATGGCACACTGAGGCAAAACTCTTGAAAGCATCACAGTTTTTATTCCAAACTGTTTGTTTCCACGTTTGGGAAAGTTAGTATTTGCTTTGTTAGTTTGTTTGGGAGTATGCCATGTAGAGTTGCTTGATTTATCCTTCCCATTGGTGTAACAAATGCTTTTCAAATTCTCTTATAGTTTACAATCATGAAGAGGACTCATTTTATGTACATCACAATATTATCTTCCCTGCCTATCCTCTAAGTCTGGAGTGGCTAAACTTTGATCCCAATCCTGAAGAAACTCCAGGTAAATATGTTTTGAGGATGCTGAAGGACATCCAAGCTATCTAACAGTAACAATTTTTAAATGTGACCTACATAATTAACTTAGAGCTGTGACTAAGTAATGGTTTTCTTTCAGCAGTATTAGCACAGAAGTAAAACCAAGACACTGAGAGGAAAAAAATAATCATCTAGGTGAACCATTAATTTTCTACAGCAGGAGATACTCATTTATGTTTTTCCCCCAGCCTTTTACTAATGTTATGTCATGTTACTTAATTGAAACGCCAGTGCTGATAGCAATAGCAAACAATCAATGTATCTGGACTAAAGGAAAACTTTTTTCACCTTTGCTTTGTTTGAAAATGGTGGTGGTTTTTTTGTTCAGAGAAGTAATGACCCATTCACTAAGTCAAATGTAAAACTGGGTGACCATTTTTAAATGTTGCCAGGCTGTACTTTTTTCCTCTTGTTGGAGAGTTCATTGGATGATAAATTGTATTAATAAGGAGTAAATGTTACAAGCAAAATTATATCTTTAAAATCACTGTTCATCAGGTGTTTTTTTTTAATGTGCTTAGAGCCTTTGATAGATATATGGACATAAATATAAAGTAAATGTTGAAATAAACTACTTGTCTTTATAATTGTTTATTTTTACTTTCATGTAAGCCCAGGTAACCTTGCTGTGATTTTATTTTTCCTTCTTCAGGGAATTATGTTGCTGTGGGTAACATGACTCCTGTTATTGAGGTGTGGGACCTTGATATTGTAGATTCCTTAGAACCAGTCTTTTCCCTTGGAAGTACGAAAGAGAAAAAGAAAAAGAAAGGAAAGAAGGTAATGGAAACACTGACTAATCTGCTTAATTTGGAAAGTGTTTTGGCAGGGATCACATTGGTGTCAACACTTATACTATGGGTGCTCAGCCCCTGGCCTGTGGGCCAGATCCAGCCCAGGGAGCTATGCCATTCGGCCCATAGGCATCCTCATGGCCCCCAAAATTTGGTGGCAGAGGGGATTGGTGGCAGCAATTGCCCTGCTGCCAAATTTCCAGACCCTTGGAGAGCCCCACAGGCCCGATTAGCACACTGGATCAGCATGCAGAGAGGGCCCAGTCTGATGGTGCAGGGCCCTAGGGAAACAGCCCAGGGCCCTGATCTTGTGGCAGGCCAAGTGAAGGCTGTGCAGGGTCCAATCCGGCCTGTGGGCAGGCCCCACATCACTCATCTCGCCCGCTGCACCAAAAGGTTGAGCACTACTGGCTTATGTGATTGTAATCTCACTGGTGTACAGGTAATTAAAGAAAGCACATCTGCAAGAAATCAAGCTGGTTTACTGGTTTATTCACGGTTCAATTCAGAGGCTTACATTCAGTATTTTTAGTGTGATTCAGTGAGTTGGAAAGACTTGAGGCTAGGAAAGATCAGGTTGACAGCAGTATTGCAGGCACAAACACGTCACTGTAGTTCCTTTAAGGCTTTTTGTATGCACACAAATAAGGAATTTAAAGACTTAAGTGAACATGGCAGACTTTGGAGCTTAGCGCTCTCCTTTCTGAATTTAAAGGAATTAGGAATTATTTGTTGGTGACTCCGTAATCACTGGGGAAAGATGGATTGGTGGCAAAGACTGCGGAGTGGGTGCAGTAGGTAGGAGAGACCCAAGGAGACTGCAGATCAGTAGATGAGCAAAAGAATCTATGCTAGCTGACTGAAGGGAGTAGCCACTGTGGCGTGCTGATCAACCAAAGAAAGAAGTAAGCTGGGAAGAAGTATTGTTGAAACAGCTCTACATAAAGAGAGGGATACAGCAAGCGGGAGAATGCCAAAATTGTCAGCCCAATGCCTGCTCTCATCCAACTCGCAAAGGGCACACTAAGAAGTTAATGGAAAGAAGCTACATCATTTTAATATCGCTTTAAACCATATCTGTGTGCAGAGTTCAGCTACAGAAGGAAAGGTGGAAGGGCATACTGATGCAGTTCTTGATCTTTCATGGAACAAACAAAACAGGTAAAA